AACCCCCGCTGGTGCCACCCCTGTCAGCCCCACCATGTTAGGATCAAATTTTAAGAACTTTTAATGTAGGAAATTGCACTCTAACACTCAAAATGCTTTTTTAAAGCAGTGCGTTCCAAGAAAAAATTATTGACTTATTCCCTGAGAGCGGGGAGAAGGGTTATTCTTTCTAAAAGTAATAAAAAAAAAAGAATGACCTCAGCAGCACATACTAGGTTTCAGATCAGAAAAAAAATTGTATGTGACGTCGAACATAAAAGGGTTAGCTTACTCACGGTGGCTACCTGAGTAGCTACGGTTCATACCATCATGCTAATAATAGAATGTTGAAACTTTGAGTGAAGAAAGATATTCACTCCATTGTGTCTTCAACATCACCTTACTGTATACTCTCAATGGTATACTTAACTTTGATTTACTATTAAAATTAAACAAGTGACAGGGTTATGCCAAAGAGGTTAAGAGTTTATGTTACCTAATATACAGTTGACAAATTGGGCAATTTCTTTTTATAGGATTAACGGTTGAAATTGACATTTCATGGCTTTTGCAAGTTGTTTTTTGAAGATTTTATTGTTTTTGAAAAGGTGCCAATCAGGAAAGAGCGAAAAGGTCTGAAAAGTACAATCCCCAGAAATGGATTCAAGAGGGGTGACAGCGCTGCCCCAATCCTAAACCTGGCCATCTAGACATGCCATAATCATAACAATTAACATTTCTGGCATCAGCACAATCACTGGGTCTCTTCTATTACAAATTCCTGGATCCGCTACTGGTCCCATAGATTCTTCCTAAAAAATAGGTACATTCACGACTGTAGCCAAAAGTTGAGATGCTTACATCCCAATTCCAGGTTCCTGGTTTCAAATCATGTCGTTTAGTGGGATCTTAACAATCAGCAACAATAGGGAGTTTTTGATTGCACAATGACGGTAGGACGTAGAACGTAATGGTGTTACATAAAGTCATCTGCGCATGCGAGAATGTTGAGTTCTTGCGATCGTGTGGAATCGAGGACGCAATTTGGCCAAATCACAGAGAATGTAGGATGCCCGGTAGGACGGTCACACATGAGTGAATACGTTCTAGCGTCGCGTTGTCGCACCAATCAAAACCTCCCTATTATCCCAGAGTGGGGCAGAGTTTAGTAGAAAGATCCATTGTTTTCATGACTACACTTTGTTTTTTTGTTTTTTTATAAGAACCAGTAAAATTTTGTCCAGGCTGTGTTCTTATTTTTTGGCCGATTTCAGGCTAAAAATGTTCTTATTTTGTTTTAATTTTACACACTTTTCAAACATAGAAAATTATGATATTATACAGCAGTATATTACTGTAGGCCTACTATATTATACAGGGCATTACATAGTCACACCAACTGCAAATAAGCTAAGATTTGTTGGTTACTCTATTTTTATCACCTGATTAGACATTTTACCTTCAGGCTTTAGTTTTTTCTTACTTTGTTTTCAATTTTTAAAGAATTTCAGCCTAATTGTTCTTATAAAATGTGTTCTTATAAAAAAAAAAAGTGTAAAGCAATTGAAGCCTAAAGTAACATTGGACATAAAAGTACAGTAAGTGCCTATTGTCTGCATTTTTGTGCTATCCTTAATAATGATTTATACTGACATTTATACAATGTCAATCTACTGTACCTCTCATACAATTAAGTATACAATTTTTATTGAATAATCAATCAATGAATCAGCTTCACAAAAACCCGCTTCTGACAAAACCAAATGAAATGAATTCTTTTGGAATTAAATATCTCTCATTACACATGGGTGCAGATCATGTTCACATCAAAATCCCCCCCCCCCCAATATTTTTAAGGAGGAGGGGTTGGTCCCCCAATTTTTTGAGTAACACCCCACAACCCTGCAATGTAATTTCATAAGTTGAGAAGATGCCTGAAAATTGTTGAAATGAACTGCATAAATGTTTAAGAGCGCTGTACAGTACAGCGAGAGTACATGATGATAAATTCCAGCCATCTAGCGGTACTACAGTATTTCCTCAAATCATCGCATCTCAGCACCATGGTGGGGCTGAGGTGGTGGTGGACTCACAACTGTCCCTACCCACCACCAGTGCCGGATCGTAGGGTAAATTGCATGGTATGCTAAGTATTGGCATATCTAGGATGTACAAGGGGTTGCACGTCCTCCCCCTACCCCTAAAAAAAATACTTGCCATCCCCAGTCGCGCTTCCCGCCCACAAATCATGCTCAAGTAATTCAAAATCACCTATCACCTTATTTTGCGAGTTATCCCCTCATAATCACGGATCCCCACTTTACCTTCCTAAACCATCAGCTCCCTTCCATTTTAAGACCCACCACTGATGCTAGGGCCTGCTAGTGATAGGAAAAGTTACTACTATACAGAATAAGATTGCGTTCTATGGTCAAAATACAATGCATGTTATTTTAATACCAGCATGGTTGTCTTCTCTTCAAAAGAATTCTTATTCCTGTATTTTAACAAATTTCAATTCAAATAATAATAATTCAAAGTTTCTTCTATACCTGTCATATGTATGTAAATATATTTAAACTTTAATCGATTTAGATTAGGCTTATAGAGAGAATACCCGATCGGCAGTGGAGGTCCCGATTTGTGAGAAGAGCATGCGCACATACTATTGGAAGCACTGCTTCCATTCCAGTGTTAAATTGGCTATTCTGACGCCACCACACGGTTGTCACAATAGCAAATTTAAGCGTTGTAGGGTATGCTCTGACTTCCATTGACTCACTGAATAAGTGATTGGCTGATATCGAAGACCAGCCATGCGGAAATTCTAAGTACGATGCGATAGGCCCCGACTGTAATCCTAGGTACCAAAGTAGGCCAAACATTGAAAAACTTTGCTATTCCAATTAGGGTGTATATAGAAGATCCTGACTAAGAAATGCTAAATAAAACGGAGAAAATATACTACAATATTTTTTTTATTTGTTTTAGCCAAGGTATGCACTGCATACCTTGCTTGCCTCGGTCCGCCACTGCCCACCATCTTTCAAAACAGATCTGTGCCCTCGACACTATATTAGACCTAAATATAACAGCTCAACCTATATTCAACCCATATTTCAACAAGAAATTTGTTTGATGTATAATACAAGCAGTTAAAAAATTAGGTTAATTCATCCAGATAAGTGTACTTGTGAATTCCACCCATTATATTTCCCGATATTTAAATCCAAAATGTTGATGCAAATCCAAAATCGTCGATGGGAAACAGCTTCTACAGTACTTTCTCACTTTTACTAATAGCCACATTGAAAGCAAATAAAAGAAGCACTAGTCATGATTTATACCATATTCCCAACCAAAAACGATCAAGAGAGGAATTTTACTGATGTGAGTTAGCCAAATTTTCATACCTTTCATAAAATAAAAAAGGAAATTAAAAAAAAAATTGTTAAAATTGATGGGGCAGTGAAGATGGTTGCGCGAGGGGACAAGAAACTAGTAATTTTTTTTTATATGGCCTAATTTTAGGTTTCTTCAAATTTCAAGAATTTTTCTCTGGCCTATGGAAATGGTATTAGATGATAATGGTATGTGGTAGGAAACTATTGAACATTTCAGGATATAATTTGAGGATGCCACAATAGACCTACTACAGTGCGACCAATCTTTCTATACAATTTGCTCACTCATGTGTTTTGGGACTACGTGTTTGAATACACACAATCCAAGAATCATAAAGAAAAATCCCAGCCATCTCATAAAGCTATTTTTAGAAAGGGGATATTTTAGAATGATAACTATTTTTAAAAGGATTATAAAATCATGTAATTAGACACCCGACCTACATTTAACATGTGATCGACATGTGAACATCACATGATACTGACTTTTGTTAACGTTAATTATAATATAATAAATTCTACATGGGATAGCATACTTGGTTGCCATGATTACAATTATGGGATGATATTGTGAAATGTTTTTTGTGTTTGATTTATATATTTACAACAGAATATAAATTGATTTCATTGATTTCAATAGTGAATTACAGTAGTTTAATAACTGGATAGCGGGTACATGGAAATGTTTTAAGAATCTTAAGTGTCCAAAAATCTACTGGCAAATTTCGCATTGCAAATAAATTCTTTGACCAGTAAATATTAAAGAGAATTTTATCATGTAAATGATATTTATTTTAAAGAGGTATTAAAGGATTATAGCTATGCTGCCTACATATCACCATCTTGAATTTTAAGGATATTCTCACAATTTACCATGCCTCGGCCTACGTTTACAGATGGCTACGAGGATTTAACTTTTGGGTGCAATACTTCCAGCAGCATAACGATCTGCACCCAAACACCGTTTGTGTTGACAAGAAATACAAAATCAGATTTTATATATACTGTAGCCAGAGCAATTAAGCAATCATCGAATGTTGTTATAGGACCTCCAGCATCTGAAAATTGTTTCAGTACAATATAAACCATGATGTTTATACAGAATTTGGTATAGCCCAGAGATATACTAAAGGCGAAAATGTCTCAATCATGCACGTTTTGATAAAAGCATGAAACTTCGCACACATATACTATGAATCATATTTTCAGGTATGGACTCTTATCAACAGAATCCTCTATAGGCCAGAAATGTTTACATGACACACTCATCTTTTGGCTTCTTTTACTCCCCTTGCACAACCATACACTGATATCGTTTCATGTAGTTTTATCAAAAGTCTGTTTTTTTTATGCATTTTGCCTTATCTATATCCTGTATACATAGATAGCAATAACTATATTATTATTTATGAGCATACAATAATGATAAGGAATGGTTATGACTCAATTTAAATGAATTCCTTTTAGCAACAAACTTTCAGTGAGAGTGGGAACTACAGTATACCATAATTGGAATCACAAAGATTATAAACACATCCTACATTAATACTATCCTGTATTTTACAGTACTGTACTTGATATCTTCACAATGCACTTTGCAATAAAAGCCAATTACATAAAAAACAGTTTTAAGTATGTAATTATCATTTTCAGATAAAAAAAAAACTATATTGCAGCTCTCTTGATGCACAGCTAGCATTCATTAGAATCAAGAAGGGAAGATGTATTACAGTTAGCAGAGGACCCCAACCTCCCCCCCTCCCCCACTTCCTGTTTATATTCCTGGTTTTTTCAATGACATCCAGTAATCTACAAGCTAATGTTATTTTTAAAAGCCACTGGCTCAATGCCGTAGCCAAGATTTTCAAACAGTGCGGGACAATATCAGGGTAAACCCACCTTACAAGCATTGGCGAAAAATGTGGACCCATTTTCTTAAAAGTTTACCCATTTTATGCAACATTATTAAAAATTGTGGGCCCACTTATTTAAAATTTTACCCATTTTAGGGTAAATATGAGAAATCTGGACCCTTTTTTCAAAAGTAGACTCATTTTATGTATAAAATTGCATAATTTGGACCCATTTTTTAAAATGTAGACCCATGCTCTGTGGACCCATTAATAGGAAAATTGTGTGGGACTGTCCCAACTGTTCCAATAGCTGGCTATGTCATTGCACTGGCTACCCTGGCAGAATGTCTATTTTTTCTTAAGAAAATTAATGCTTCTATGTATTGTTTAGCACAATTTTATCTTCTCAAGTTCAGAGGTTTCAGTCCACTAAACTAAAAATGTAAGCACAGTCGAGAGATCCATCATTAATTTAGATGAATACAAAATCCAGGGGCTATGGTAAAGCGTATAATAACATGCTAATTACATCTGAATACAATGACTTGGTGCAAGTCCAGGGTAAACACGTGACATCACAAGCACATAATGGCAATAGATGGAGGATGAGTCACAATCAAAGATACCATTGGAGTATACAGAGAGATGCATTCTGATTTGGGCAGCATTTTTATCTTTGTGTTGTATGATGGAACTCAGTTCTACATTCAACATATATGTTTTGTTGATTGATGAGATTAAAACTTCACATTTAATTAAACCAATCAATCAAAAGTCATTTAAAAATAACAATTACCTACAACAGAATACAATGTTCAGTGGCACAATGCTGCTGACATTTCACACAGTGCAGATAATGGATTACTCATTTCAGGCCTAATTGCATAAAAAATTTCTTTTAATTTTTGGCTGGCCCTGGCAAAAAACAGACCGCAAACACAAAGGGAAATGCGCACTCGACGGCGCCACCACAACCGTGTATGCGCAGGTAACCTGGCGACATTTTGCTGGACTCCAGTAGCTTCCACTTTGGATAAGCCTCGGCTATACTACCTTTTGCACTGTTAAGGTGGCGATGCCTTCTCAAGTAAGGGAGTTGCAACTTTAAGGTGAAAAAAAAACCTTAAACTAGTTCAAAGTCTTAAACTACAGTTTGTGAGAAATGAATGTACAGTATGTGAAAAGAGATAATTTTTTCAAAAAATAAATGTATGTGAAAAAAGATGGGTTTTCTACTACTCTATACCTTTATCGCAAGCAGAGTTTTGATTTTATTTACTATATTATCATATTAGGCACGTTCAGATGAGTTAGAAGTAAGCTTTGAAGTAGCAGTTTCCTTGTCGTAATCCCTGGGCAGTGCCCCTTTTTATTTAAAGTTACTTCAACATTACATACTACAGGTGATTTACTTCTGAGCAGTCTCAGGAGTATATGTGTGCTACTTTTGCGTACGCAAGGAATGTAAGGACTACGCGCTCAGAGTAGCACCGTGCAGACACACTTACTACAGAGCTCGCAAGTAAATACAATGAATTTTTCAAAAGAAATAATACAATAATTGACAATCTATTACGACACTATGCCACAGCATAAATTCCACATTATTATAATAAATATCTTGACATCTATGTTGGGTGTTGTTTGAATGGAGGAGTGTAAATACGGCGAGACTTTTTTTGTACCTTCTTTAGCGAACCTGCCGACTGCAAATATTGATGATTTCAATTTAAAAGTTTATTTTTGGCCAATTAGAGCACCTGCCACCATAAAAAAGTGGAAATTTCAGAAAAAAATAAAAGTTTTTCTTTACTTTTATTACGCCCTCCACTACCTTGAAATCTCCAAGTATAAGACGTATATTTCTTTCTAATTATATAAATATGAAGCATTTAACCATCCTGTTTTACATTCTGCAATAAAATTTTATTTTTATTTTCTCCTCCGCCTGCATGATTTTGGCAAACCTACTTGCTAAATAAGAAAACAAAATTTTATTTCTATTCCGCCGTCCTCCAATAATCTTTAAAAAAATAAGTAATAAAAAAGCCTCCCTCCCTCATCACTTTTCCAGCCTAGATAGGGTGATAAACTAATAATAATTTTTATAGGGCTTAAAGACAAAACTCACTTAGGATCACTAATGGTTTTGCAGGTTGACTAGGAATGGAGTCTCAGAGATGGGAACCATACAAACTATAAAATCTCTCGGAGGATGATAGGCAGCCATAGCTTTAGACCCCTTATCCAACTGATGGATCCCTGTTGGCAAATTTATGGAGCCACACTAAAGGGTTTTCAAATACTACGGAATGTCCGTAGTTACAATGGTAACTCAGCCCAATTATGGACGTATGGAAACGGAGATAAATACTACGGAAATACACACAAACTACGAAAAAAATACAATTTGGCCTAAGTTTATGGGAAATCCCAAATAAAACATGATATTATGGCTAAATCAACAACCGATACCACAAAGCAAGATCCTGCTTCCGGGTTTCCGAGATCGACCATACGAGTGAAGATGACGCTATAGACCACAGCTGTACTGTACTGCAATTTTGAGCAACCCATATCTTGGACTCATGGCAAATTATTAGGTACTAAAGAAATTTTTCATTTACTACGGATATATGAAAACATAGTTACGGAAATGCATTTTACGAACATGAGAAGTTTGCACTAAATGTGTTAAACTCAATGGATCAGACAAAATAAATATTGTATTAATTCCATTTTGTTTCCAAACTTGCCACTATCAAGAATAATATGTAAAATAATATCATTTTACAGCATGCTTACTACAAATTATAATGATAAAATAATGATGGTAATTCTACAAACTGAATTGCTGCTGAATCCAGAGAAAGTGGCCAATGACATAACACAGAGTAGACCTGGGTTTCCAGGCACTGATGTTTTTCCAGTTTCTCCTAAATCATTGTTATTGGCAGTCGCGTAGGTCATTGACACATATTCACAACCTCTAGCTTGGTGGATCAGCTTTCTTTGTTTACAACACTTGATACTATCCATTTTTTTTAAACCCCAGGAATGCATGGATATGAATACACAATATTTTTTTTTTATTATTATTTTGCAAGAAATTTTGTATCAAACTGGTTTACATCATCCAGAAGATCGAGGAGGTATAATGCCTTTGGGTACTAAATCAAAAACATAATTGAAATGCAGAGTAATTTATGTGCTATTGATTATGTTTTTCTTTTCTTTAATATTAAGTATTGTATATAATAGACAGGCTATCTATTGCACACATATCAAAAAACCATTAGCTCATTCAATAGACATGATCATTTTTTGGAAAATCTAAATTTAATAAGCTTAGCTAGACAAGGGCATAATCGGGTGCAGAAAAATACAACAAGTTATACTGTAACAGGTTAAATGATAAATGTGATAAAATGCGTGGTTGGTTTTCTAGGAAAAATATTGAAATATTTTGAACAGGGATGGAAAAAGTATGTGAAAGCACAACTGGCTGCCAGAGTCATTGCACGCCTCAAATAGGACTTTTTAGGAATTTCTTCTTTTTTTTTTTTTGGCTCCGGGCAAACATTATGGTGCCGTGATAGCGTACAGGTAACATTTGGTGCTGAAGGCACACATTTCTTACAGGCCTGATTTTGGAAAAACATAACAGCGGTAAATCATATTGCCTGTTTTCTTTTCCCATGGTACGTTTCCGCTAACCTATTAGAAATGGTTCATGACTAGCCAAAATTTTAAAAAGATAAGTTTTCATAAACGGGCAGAAACTGGGGAAATGGACATGAAAGTGAAAATGTAATTAATAACAAAAAGCAGATTTTTATTGTGATACATTATTTAGAATTGTTTCGAATTTGGGTGCTGAAATGTTTAACTTCCTATAAACTTTTTATAGGCCAGATGTTTATGTTTTAATATTAAGATTTGCATATACGATAACAGAAAACATGTGCAATTTACATTGATGACACAGTTTTATGTGTTTTTATCTAAGCAAGTATTCTAACAGGATGCAATATAATGATGATAAAATCACTTTTATTGCACAAAGTGAAACAGCAACACTGAGCCGATTAGTCTATAACCTCATGCATCTAAAATCTAACTCAAGACAAGCTATAAAGCTATACCTGTTTTGCATTTTTTCTTTGTCCATTGTTAAAAGTTCACTCTGTAATTTACTCATTTTCAAGGGTGGGTTTTGATACTTGCAGCACCAGATGCAGCTAGATGCAGCTAGGGCCAAGGGGCGGTGACCGCACGGGCAAAGTAGAATAAAAAAGGAAGGTAGATGAAATAAAAAATTAGACCTCTGGCCGCTTCCTGTTCAGCGTCCGGACCCAGAGTTGGTTTCCTGCCAACACACCTATTTACTAATATAGTTGTGGTTTTTTTACTGTACTTCCATTGAAAAAAAAATACAGTATGCTACCTTCTAATAGTAAGTAAGAGGGAGTGTGTGTCAACTGCTTGACATATTTTTTTGTTTTTTTGTGGCTACTTTTAAACCATCCAGGCTTTCTGTATTGGCAACTCACTTGAATTTAAAACTGTACATGTACAACAAACAGATTGGTTTTTCTTTAGTACTTTTTAGGACAGGTCTTCTTGCATATGGCACCATATTTCCTAAGCATATTTTGGAAGATTGTTCAATTTCATACATACCAAGGCTCACACATTCAGCATGAGAAGCATTCAAGGTTTGTCTCACGCTGTCATGCTTACAGATAAAAAATCTCATGCATAAATGTAATATTGCCTATAATTAGATATATACTTTTGTACTGTAGCTTTCTCGTTTCATCATCCACAGTACTTAGAATAGGTTTGGTTTTGTAATTACACATTCGAACACAAATAAATTGTGCTGCACTACACCAGGGTTAAATTGGATTGGCTTTCTATTTTAAGTAACACTCTCTCTCAACCAACAAACTTATGGAGCTGCATACAATATCGCTGCTGATACAGTTTTCTCTTAAGAAGGGAAAATAATGTCAGATACAAATTTCTCAGAGAACTTTGCAATCAAGTTGTTAACAACCAACAAACCAGCACACAAAGCTCGAACTAAATGTATAAAGAGATAATATATTTTTCTGATGTCTCCTTCACAGTATTCTTTATGGTCTGATAGGATCAAAGAACACAGTGAGAGAGCTGCCACGCGTGCGGCTCATGTCAGCCGGGATAGGTTCGTATAAGGTAAAAACATGCATTCTAAAGGAAAAAATGCAGATTCTTAACAGATTTTCAGTTATAAAAACAACACAACCCTAAAATGGCAAAGAATGCCTGGGTGTAGGGGAGGGGACACTCCCCGGACACCCCTTGGGGCAGGGGTTAAATCTCATGCCTGCATATTGGTCTAACTTGGAATGTATGCAATTTATCATTAGCTTATGACTCATCCCATCATTCTTCCAACTGGATTTACTGTACTTTCACAACTTTACTAGTGAAATGATCTCAAAATATAGAGGGCAGTATAACATTTTTTCTAGAAACAAGGACATGTTGATCAAACAGGAATTCCATCACGTTGCACTAGCAAACTGATTCTTGTTAGCAATTTCATAAATCAATGTAGTGAAACATCGTTAATTTGTACTTAATATACAGGTGCTAAATTAATAAGTAATATTGGATTCCTTAATAAAATTAGCTATGCCGGTTTTTACCCTTGTCGGAGGAAATACCCTTTCCAGAGGTAAAAACAGTTCACAATGCCATATAAGTTTGCTTTTCGTATACCTGCCACCAACAAGGGTTTTGTCTATTTTTATCTTTCGCCTTTTGTGTGTATTTTAGTGAATGAATTTGGCGAAATAAATGAAAACCAATAATTGGCTACCCAATTTGTATACTGTAGCCTACACACCTGCCAATGCTGGCAACTAAAGAGCACAACATCAATTAACTTTAGTGAAAAAACTTCCTGTCGTGTTGTATAATCCATTTAGAAGATGCAGAGCAATCACCAAACGATCAATTTGCGATTTGTTTTGCTGTTGCCTTGGTTAGCGAATGATGACAAACATTAATGAATGGTAGGGATATATTTTCTCGCGTGACAGTTAAAGTTTGTGGAAATAGAAATTGATTTGGTATTAGGTGACACCTTGACCTGTTGCAGTCATATCGCTTTCAAACTGGATCAGCGTAAGAAAAATAATAGGTATGTTATTTTTGATGTAATTCAACAAGGCACAATTACAAGTATGCAAAAATTCATAACCACCAGGTGTTTAGAATTTACAGTTTTCGAAGAATTTGGTGTCACAGACGTACGGACACACATGCATGGTTGATCGCAAAGGATCCTAACGCTTTTAAGCATAGCAACCAATAATATTTATAGACGTGGGTCAGATATTTATTTTGTGCCCTTGATCTCAGAGGATATCTTAATGATGGTAGTTTTGCCCATATTTTAAATTATAACCTTCCTTCAATATTCTTAAGTTGCTAATTTAGATGCAATAATTTCCAGGCGTAATCTCCCTGATGAAGTGCTATATCCCAATATTTTCACTACAATTCCATCATTCCAACTGAATTATTTCATGATTATGGTTAAAGGACTGTCAATCAACTGAACTAATGACCAATCAGAATAAGGCAAGGAATACGGGCGTGTCCTACACACACGTGTTGTCCCATAAACGCACATATTTACGTACATTTACACTATTGTTTTGTGGGACCTAACAAAAATATCCAAGGGGAACAATATCCAAGGGGCATGGCTTGCAGAAATAAGTTACACTTAATCAAGATGACTACTCAAACAATGCTTAAACCTATCTCTGAATATCACCACTAAATTTACAAATAAAATGAATAGGGCCTACATTTTTCATTTTTTTGAAGTGTCAATGTTGTATTCAGGTTAGTGTCAAAGTAAATAAATTATGAATAAGAGTGATGTTTTGCCCTACCGGTCGCATTACTTATCATACTGAATACACCGTACATTCCCAAATACTTGCGAGAAATCTTGCAAGTTATTCGGTTGGGAATTGAACCTACGACTTCCAGATACTGAGTATTCAGTACAATAACACGTAAGGGCAAAAAATCACACATGTATATCATTTCCTGATGCAAAAACAACATTGAAATGTAATCGACTTACCTTACTCTCATTTTCTGTTAAATTTCCTTGAATTGCAACAATTTGGTATTGCTTCGACTTGAAGTTTGTGAGAGTTTGGCGTAATGGTTTAAGAGCATATCCTGTTAATTCAGATGTTTTTAACAAACCAATTTGCTTTTGGGAGAAGCTTGGATCGAACAGCAGAAGACGAATACTTTTATCTTTCAACTGCTCGTAACCAATGATGGTACGACTGTGTCCTGTGAAAAGATATACAAGACAATGAATATCTTGTTTTTAAACAAAGATACTTTTGGGATAAGCTTGATGGAACAACAGAAGACAAATACTTTTATCTTTTACATCATTATCACTGTCATAATAACTACAGGGGTAGCACCAGGGAGAAGGCAGGCCAGGGGGGTCAGGGCATCTACCCTGTCAGGGAGATGTTCCCCCAGTTGGGGAGCAAAAGCAATCCTCAGGAAGAAAAAAGAATTACCGTACTCGTGCGAATAAGCACCCTGTTTGAATAAGCGCCCCTCTCGAATAAGCACCCCTTCCTAACGTAAACATTTCCTTAAGCACCCCGTTTGAATAAGCCCCCCGTCTAATTTGAATAAATGCCCCCTCAATAATCCAATCAATCTGTGGATGTTGGCATGATTTAAGTTATAGTGAATATCAAAATGAGTATTTATCTTGGACAGATGAGTGAGAGCTCCCTGAACAGACAGTATATTTCCAACCTTCATCTTCTTGCACTTGTCTATAGCCTATAAAACCTGCAATGATCATACCATCTTGCTAATCTCAATCGACTGATGGCCAACCAGCTAACCACCACCACCAATTTCATCTGCTATTCTGCTATTAATATACTCACAACATTCTTGTCATGACAAGCCATGCTCTTTGGACGATTATCTTTTCCGCCGCACCACCATTCGTAATTTGCGGTTTATGATGTCCTTATATAATCGTTTTTCATTTAAGAACCCCTCGATTTTCATCTATTTCCATAAGCGCCCCCTCAATTTCCACTCTGTTTTCATAAGCGCCCCGTTCAAATAAGCGCCTCGTTTAAATAAGCGCCCCTCAAAAAAATTTTAAGAGCCTGGGCGCTTATTCGCACGAGTACGTTATATGTATTTTTTAAATATTAGTACAGCAGATTTTAAAATCGATTAACACTCTGACCGCCAGGGGTTTGAAAAGAAGCATCAGCCACCGCAAGACTTTTTAGCAAATTTTAACACTTTTCCGAAGCTCGTTTAGAGTGCGTATGTGATCAGATTGACATGTAATGAATACTACAAGAATTACAAACATTTTAGATTTACAATGGTACCAAACACTTTATTCTAATCACAATCTGTGACCCGTAACAGTAAAATGAAAATGACTCACTTTTGGAAATTTACGCAATTTCGCACAACGAAGCTGAGATAATCGCGATTTCGTGAAAGTAAATCAATATCGCTCTATGCTAATGTAAACAAACAAATTGTGAAATACTTACGGTCCAGACTGATTATAGTGTTCAAATTGTTAGTGCATGTCGGTATTACCCCATCAATCGGATTTCGTCAAAAAACCTGAAACATGGAGATCTCCGTGTTCGGCAATCAAGCGCTGCGTTACCAAACACGGAGATCTCAGTGTTTGGCGGGCAGAGTGTTAAATAAGCCTTTGAAGCCCCTACATTGATACAGTTTTTGAGGGCACCCCTGCTGGACCATTTCCAAGAGATTTTGAGCAACGCCCAAATATGCTCTCATCTGGGACACTGGACCCCTCCTCCATCGTCTGGCAAATTTTTCCTTTTCATCAATACTACCACCATGTTTTGACAACACAATTTTTTTGGCTTATTCAGGCACTATTATCATGGTCTTATCATTGTCCTCCTGGTCGTCATTTTTGTTGTCATAGCCGATACTGACATTGCTGTTGCCATTGCCATCATCTTCATCATCACCATCATCATTATTACATAACCATTACAAATACACAGAAGAAAGGAAAGAACATCAATTAAAAGTACAAATGCATTTTTAATTATATCCTCAAAGGGTACACACCTTCATGCTGTAGGTAAAGAGGGAGTTTGTTACTGCAGATAGCCTTCCTACTGAAGAGACTACCCAATGCTGGTGGTGATTCAAAGTATTTCTGAATCCAGTCAAAGAGCAGTGGGTGAGTATTGTTTGGCCCAGAGGGATGATGGAAGTCTATCAATTTGCACCTATAAAGAATAAGATTTGAAACAAATATTAATACAGTATAGGAATATAGTGCCTTTTGGTCATTGCATCCTTGGAAACCAATTTTTCTTTACTTATATAAATCCCTTGTTTTACCCATCCTTGAATATTGCTATGTTGTAAGGTCTCCTTATGAAATTGAATATTGTAATAGGCTTGAAAAGATACAGAGGGTTGCTACCTGGATTGCCTTTGTCCGTGGAGATGGCAGGTATGAAGACTGTCCAACTTACTCTAACCGGCTTAGAATGTTTTACCTTTCTCCCCTCTCTGTCAGGAGGAGCATTTCCAGAGTTAAGTTGGCTTCACGCTATTTACAGCATAAGTTCCTGTCTATTCTTAATATTCCTTTCATACTAAATTCTATGATCATACCAAGCTCTTTAGGATTCCTGTTCGCACTTCATTCTACCAACGCTCACTTTATGTTGAGGCTGTCAACCTTTGTTTAAGTCTGAACGAACATGGTTTTAAAAATGTGGTTTCCCAACATTTACACTCTTTATGGGAAAACTAGCTAACAGTGATTTTTTAAAGTCTTGTATTGCTTGCAGTTTCTTTTACGGTTTAAACATCTTGTATATATTTTTATTCTGACATTTTGTAATTATTCCAATTTTAAACCGTATTTTAAACATTTGTAGGCTAGTTTTTAATCATTCCTTGTTCTTTTGGTATTTTAACCCTGATTTTAACCATGCCGTTTGCAAAATGAAATCCTGTACCCATTTTTTAAACTTTTGTCTGTTACATTTACATGCTAAACTTAGAATATATAATTACCTTTACTGAGCATCATTTAATCAAGAAGTTGGTCGCGATTAACAGCGTATGGAAACGCCAATGTACACATTAATGGTTAATACTAAATGTTTGGAAAGTAATTTTTAAACGGTTTTGTATTTTTAAATAGTTTTTTTTGTGTGCGTGTTTTAGACTTTGTATTGATTTTATTTATTTTAGTTTCTTACGATGCTTGACTATACATAATATTTTATTGTATGTTTTTTTAGCATGATTATTATTTTATTTTTTTTTTTACAATTGCTATTGTTTCAGAGAAATTTTAATCACAATAAATTTGAATATAATTTTAGCATGTTTTTAGTACAGTTATGTAGTGTTCGATATTGAAAAAAACAATGTTCTTTTTTTTCTTGTAGTTCCCAGAAGTGAAAAGTCAAGTGTAAAATATATAGTTATATTTATCAATTTCTGAATTATTCATAATAAAGGCCTCTGTGTTTTGTTACGCAATTGATGTAATCTGTTGAATCAAATATATACTTTTATATCGGAATTGTAAAATTATACAAATAAAGTTACTGTTACCCACACATACGTCTGCACTGCCATTACATGCGTCTGCGTCTACTAGTTTTTCTTTTTATACGTTTATTTTTATCAAAACTATGTTATATTTCCACTAATTTGTGTATTTTTATATGACACAGTACTAGTAGCAGACACGATACAAAGTTAATGGTGACATGTGTATGAAGTTACAGTACACACGCGACACCTTCACTACCATCGCACATTTTTGCATCATCTGACCTATTCTGTCTTTGAAATAATGCGCCCACATTCCTAAAGGCAGCGTACAAAGCATCTTACCCTCAAGAGTATGTGGGGACCAGTTTGTGGGAAATTTTCAAGCCACATGTGAATTTGAGCCACAAACGCTGCCTCAAATTCACGTCAAACTCCCACCGGGAGCTATTATTGCCTTCAGAAATTCCCTCCAGGCCCTACAGCAAAATATTTCAGGCAATAATGGCTAGAGTAGGGTCACTATTTACCAACAGAGCCCTCAAATATTAGTGAGGGGGTAGAAGCAGAAACATAACTGAAGTCACCAATTCCAATCCAACGTCCAACTACAGTATGATATGCTGTTACACCTACCTGACTTTAAGAGATGTGAAAAAGGCCATAACCTCTGTAGCACCTATCCATTTCCTTGTGTTGTAGATCTTGCCACCAAGCTGTTCTCTGCCCTGTTCATCATAGCCTTCCTCCCAGGCTTTCTCAATCAGCTGTTGAATTTTAGATATAGAAGGCATATTGGTAGAGCCTACAATAAAATGTCAATAAAAATTAGCAAATCTGATTTAGCATTGAAGCTTCTATGAAAACAAATTCTTGTAATCCCGAAAATATTGAAATAAATAACAAATTCATATTATTCTAAAAATATTTTGTATCATAATGAAGTGATTTAACTTCGACACTTGAGTGTAAATACTGATCATCATTTGACATGGAAGGATCATTTAAGTCATACTGCAATGAAGTATCAAAACAAATTTGCTGCAAATGCTGTATCAAATACAGTACTACTTGCCATACCAAACTCTTAGTACTGTATGATAGCAAATGCTCTAGTAATGCCAGTTTTCGATTACTGTAGTTGCAATATTATATCAATATAAGTATTCTACAAATTTGACTTAATAGACTAGGCAGAGTTCTAATCTCTGTTGATATAATAGAGAATTGGTATAAAACACTAGAACATAATATTATCATGTCAACTAAAAATATCTCTACTCAAAGCCTTAAAAAACACTTTATTTTAGAGTTTATATACCATAAAACCTCATATTGAATCCCAATGGGCTTAATCTCAAGAAGAAGCCCATCTTGAATTGAAACCCACCTCTTCAGTTTGCAAAATTAGCCTCGATATCTACATACACTGTACATGAATTTCAAAGAAACAAAATTGGTTTACTGTATAATAGTTTAGGTGATTTAAATGACGGTTAATGCACACCTTGATACAGATTAATGCTACAGTGGCCCTATTTATTGCTTTTTAGTACTAATTCCCCAAATTTACAGCATTCATTTTGTAAAGACCACTCTCTACTTTGCAAAAGTGGCGTAGAAAAAAAAGCCCATCTCGAAAAGAAGCCCATCCAAAGTTTGCAAAAAAAAAAGCAGCCCAGGCTTCCATTTAAGGTTTTATGGTGGTATTCCCTTATAATCACTACTAGAACCAGGAGCAAGTGTACTTGTATTGAAGGTTAAAAAAATTATTTTGTTTTATTGTGATGGACAGATTCATAAAAACTTGTTTTTATTTTCATATTTCTTTACCTGCAGTTCTTGAAACTGTGTTGCTTCATTCTCAACTTTCATCCTCTCATCCATCTCGATCTGTCGTGCAATCATCTCATCGGTGTTGCTCACGTCATCAGCCTGTGACAGCTCTCTTGCTAACGTTTCATCATCATTAGTATCAGCAGAAAAATGCGCATCCACATGATGTGCTAATAAGTTTACATCTGTAGAACTATATTCACATAGAGGGCAGTATTTAAGTTCATGAGATGATGTAGCACCATCCTGAGGAGGGCGGTATTTAGGTTCATTGGTTGACTTGCCTGTACCAATATCATAGACATTTCGAGGTGGTATGAGCATGCCACCAACAGCATCCACACTGCCACTATCCTCACCCTTACATGGAGATCTTAATATAATGTTTTTAAATACACTTAAGATTGAACTGTCAGAATCATTATCTGATGACATCTTAACCTTTTTTTTCAGAGGTGATTGCACACGCGAAAGTGATGATCGGCCATTAGCATTACTTGAATTATCCTGATTTTCAACATCCGTCATTGAAATAACTGAAAATAATGATGATGAGGATGATGATGTTGCGACATCGTCCTCTAAACTGGAAGTCTCCTGATCTGGAACACAATATTGTAAATGTTGTACAGAGTTTTCTTTTTCAGATTTTTCTCTTGTTTCTTTTACCTTTTTTCTCGAGTTCTTTATTTTACGCCCTGTCGCATCCTTAGTACGCACATCATTAGAGACAGCACCAGTGTTTAGAGCATGTTCTTTGGACAGCGCTAAAAGAGTCTTGCCTTTGGATTGGTTGACATCTCCATTTTTCTGACTGTTAAATTCACAGCCATTATGCATGGAATTACTTTGCGCATCAGGTGATTTATACTTTGTTGCAGTGTGGCCATTAATTCTGGATGAGCGACCTGAATTAGCAGGGCTTAGAATATCAGCATGAGCTGTGTTTATATGATATTCTAAGTCATCAGCAGAAACACCTTCTAAATCGCACATCGGACACTTTGCTTGAACATGTACATCTAACATGTGCGTGTTCATACGATCTGCATCTAACTTCTCCTGTCCGCATATTGCACAGGTAAATAAAGGTGTTTTTAGTGACATACTAATTGGCAATCTTTCCAACTACTGATACTTGACTTAAGCATACTGGTCTGCCTGCTTCTAAATGGTATATTGATATCTGAAAAAAAAATTTAAAGGTTGAAGATTATATATCTATTTCTACCAAGCACACAGATAGATGGTCAAACTCCAAAATTAAAATAATGCACAGAAAAGAGTGAAAACATGGAATATCGCAGACAGTCCAACCAAGCCACGACAAGGTTTTCGGACCAAAAGTTTCACTATTATTATTATACCATAATAAGATATTTAAAGAAATAAGAAATTTAAGGTTACAGTAGGATCAAGCAAGCTACCCCAATTAATACACAAGGTTGTCGAAACAATATCCACAACCTATTAATTTGCCTATCGAAATATCGTTCTTTTGATTGCCAATCCTTAATGTTGAAGACTAAAAGCACAAGTTAAGTCCATGGGACATAATACTACTAAGTGAGCCAAAAAAAACTCTCCCTGTGAACCCTACAAGCACCAAGGTGGAAGTATATAATAATTAATATTTTATACCTCCTACCAGGACCACAAGGATCCAATCAGCCACTCGGTTCGGAACCCCTGTCGCCACACTATAAAGTTTTTTAATTGCATGGAGGATATCTCAAAAATCAGCTCAAATTTTAGCGGAAAATCACTAGGAAAACAGGTGCGCGAAATTGCTGCATAATGCATCGTTATATATCAAGATCTGGTCAAAGCCTAATTTTCAGCAAAATCTACGCAGAAATCAGCCCTTATTTTACGAAATACGCTGACAAATATCTAGGCCGAATTTTTACACAAAAGATATATTCCCTGCACAGGCCTTACTATACAGTCTGGCAATGTCAGTTCGGACCACCTGTCGTGTTGTTGGCAAATTTCTGGAGCCACCACTATTTGTAGGGTCACCTACCTACTACTACTAGCCTAGGCCCACCTACTAGGTAGCTAGGCCTAGGCCTACGCCAGGCTTAGGCTGGGTGGCAGTTTTATTAGGGTAGGTCTAGGCTAGGCCCTGCCTAGTAAGGGTACAGATGATGCTCGCGATGCTGTTGAGGCGAACCCCGATCCATACATAGCGGCCGAACTTGTTCGCAGTCGAAACTGTTCTACACAGGCCTAACCTAGGCCTACTAACTACTACTCGGCCCCTAGGCCTGGTCTAGGCCTTCCTATGGCCTAGGCTTAGTAGGGGCTATCTAGCCTAGGCCCTAACCTAGGTAGGCCTACTAGGCCGGTGCTAGCTCTTAGGGCCTAGGCCTAGTCCTAGCTTAGTTTGAAAATCATGGGATGAAATGGAGTTCATTAAATGTTTATCAAAATAGCTTTTGTATTATTATAATGTTCTCAAATGATAATTACCTAATAGGCCTAGTAATACTATAGGGGCCGACGCCTAGGCGTTACTCCAATAGCCCTGTCCATAACCTGTTGCAACACCTTCTTTTTATAACCAAAAAAAGATAAACAGTAATCTAAACAATGAAGACTGCCCTCTCGAGAACGGATCGCCGAAAAACCTTACTAACCCAAGTTCATAATTTAAGCACACAGTAGACCTTCGTTGTTCTATTTTCTCTATGGTTGTTCTAATGGCATAGAACATATTATTATGATTTCTTTAAAATGACAGTTAAATGAACTCAATCAGGTGTTAAGCAAAGTTATGAGCGTTGAATATTTATCATCTTATCAACTTTCTTAAATCAAGTTTTGAGAAAATGCCTTTATTTTCGGCAGGTTTCTATATTTACGAACTCCCATCCGAAAATGGCTTAAGTTTAACTTTTAAACTCAAACTTTTAGAATAGTAAGATGAATATTATACTTTATTTATTGCACAAAACCCCAATTCACACAAAATACATGTTCTACCGCCTATTCTGGCTATTAAGGCTTGTTTTCTCAAGGCCTACGGTGCGAGTTTACAGATTGTAGTACGGATATACACATGACCTTCCCTTTTACAAAATACAGTATTGTAGGCCATCAATTTGTGGTTACACATATTTGGGCATTGTACAATAGGTGCCCTTGTCCAGCCCACTCTATAACAGATTTCTCCTTCTAGTCAAACAATGGCAGGAAACTATAATAAATTACAATATGCTATTACAGTATACTACTTAGTAGGCCAGATAGATGAGATTGATGAAGAATTTTGAATTACAAGTGGGGATTGTTCCATAGCCTAAGGAAAGACAAAAGAATATGGAAATGTCTTACCTTTCGCATTCCAATAAATGTCTTCATCTTTTACTAATTTTAACATATTCATTAAATGTTGAAGGACATAAACCATTACTATTTCAAAGTTTATTTCGGAATTGGAAAACAGGATCACGCCCGTATCCGGGGGGGGGGGGGTGCGTTGGGTGCGTACGTACCCCCCAAATCGAAAAACGTCCACTAATTATAACCAAAAAAATGTGACCTTGTTCCCAGAATCATTATAAAATGAATCACATAAGAATACAGTATTAAGATTGTATGAATGTACAAATGAATTACAATAAGAATATGTATAAGAGACAGATCGCAGACAGTCCAACCAAGCCACGACAAGGTTTTCGGACCAAAAGTTTCACTATTATTATTATACCATAATAAGATATTTAAAGAAATAAGAAATTTAAGGTTACAGTAGGATCAAGCAAGCTACCCCAATTAATACACAAGGTTAAAATGTGACCTTGTTCCCAGAATCATTATAAAATGAATCACATAAGAGTACAGTATTAAGATTGTATGAATGTACAAATGAATTACAATAAGAATACTAGAGTGCTGACTCCACACGCGCAATCTTTTGTACTGCCAGCAACATAACACAACAAACATACACACGTTATATGCATGTTATCGTCTCGGTGTATCTTCCCCTAACTACCAGCCGGTATGTCAGTGTATAGCAATGAAGTCAAAATGCTAGAATGACACCCCGGTTTAGACAAGTATAATATTCGTTCCTAGCGCTCTCAGAAATACCCTGGACGGGTATACTCATCATGATGATCCTTTTATACAGTATACCCCGTCACGGGTTCAATGGATACATAGCGTATACATACAGTAAAATTATGCTTATACCTCTGTATATGTTTTCTGTCGAAGAATAAAAATGTTGATTAATGCCTTCAAATTAGTCTACTAGGACGTAAGAAAGCAAATTTTTTCAGGGGCCTTCGGCCCCTGGACCCCGACCGGGGCCCTGGGCGGCCCCCTGGCCCCAGCCTGCTTACTCGCTGCGCTCGCAAAACGCACACCTCCCCCCACATTCAAAAAGCTTGATACGGGCCTGAGGATTGCCGGATGGAGCAACTGGGTGTACGGTAAAAAGGCCCAGGAAAAAATGGCCCTCCCTAGGTCTGGGCCTCTGAAAAAAAGAAGCCCCGGAAAAAAGTGGCCCCGGTGAAAATGGCCCCAAACGACAGGTGGTAAAAATGACCACAACGATAAAAATTAATAACATAAAAATTAATAAAATAGTTCATAGATTGAAAAATATATATGTAGGGCCAAATAAATAGGCCTATTGTTTTAATTGCAACATTTACATTATAGAAGTGGTTGGCGCATCGTGGCTTGGACTCCCATCCTTGAGGTCAGGGGTTTGAAACTCCCGCTGGTCAAGGCACTTTATCTGTACGTTTATCTCTCTCTACCAAGGAGTATAAATGGTTACCTGGTAGAATGTTGTGGCATTGAATGTTCTAGTTTCGTGCGCTAAAGAAGTAGCTTCCCAGGGAGGAGAGAAGGTTGCACTTTGTGCTGGTGTGCGATTGTACGTTATCCAGTGACCAGGGATAATAACGCTCGCGCCTTTGATATGAACATTCAATTTGGAATTGGCGCCTCATAAATGTTTGAGAATTATTATTGTTATAAAATGCATCAAAATTGCAAAAATTTTATCAATAAATCAATATAAATCATGTATTAAGTAAAATAATTTAGTTTTTAAAAAATCGAATGTCAAATATGTTGCATTTATATTACTTTTGCAGTAATTAAATAAAATTAATAAATTAGTTCAGATTGTAAAGAAATATGTATTAGATAGGGCTATTGTTTTAATTTGCAATTTTAAATTATAAAATTCAGTTACTACTATAGATCTTAAAGTTATATTTTAACTTACCGGTACTGTATTATGACATAATAAATTTAGATTAATTACAACAAAAAAAAACTTTAATGAGCAATTAATGGACTGTATCTATTCCCTAAAATAAATAATTATTCTCGAATAAACAAGATATAAATCATTCTCAAATACACATGGATTACCAAACATCAATTTATGCTGATTTATTAATTCATTTTTTGCTATTTTGCAGTATATAAATAAGTTGAAAGATTTTTTTGAAACAACAGTTTTATCATTGTGGGCCATTTTTACCTACCTGCAATTTGGGCCCATTTTTACTATTCTGGGGCTCCATGAATTTGCCGACAAGGGGTCCGACATGTCCGACGTACTGGATCCAGTGGCGTAACTAGAAGTCTTGAATTGGGGGGGAGGGAGTCTGATAAGGGGCGCGAAGGTGAAGTGGGAGGGGGAGCTCGTTGATCAGTTGAGGGGCGCTAATTCGCAAAATATGGTGGTTTTAGGTGATTTTTTGGAGGGATGACTGGGGGGGCGAGTTTTTTTGGGGGGAGGGAGGGGCGTGTGCGGCCCCACCCCCGCCCTCCCCTAGGTACGCCACTGCGTGGGTCGAAACAACGGGCCGACTATAGCCTTGGTCTGGGTCCGGAACAAAACAAATCCCTATAGTATGAGTTCACACGGAGAGTTTTTTAAGACTTAGTATGGTCCAAATTGTGCTTCGTGGCGTCGGACGACAGGGGGTTCCGGGCCTGTCCGAAGGTGGCGGATGCCCTCCCTGTCCTCCGCTGGTGCCACCACTGTTGGTAGTAATCGTTAAAAAAACAAACCTGATAGTTTATCTATTCTTGACTCGTCTGATATTCATTCGGATATTAGGCCTAAAACACAAAGTTTCTTCTAAGTGTTTCGTAATATTATAATATTCTCCGGAGAATTATGGAGGCAGTTACTTTTATCTTATACCGTAAATATGAATTCTACGGATGGATCTACTAGTCCACGGAGAAATATGCTTTACGGTAAGTGTGTGTTCATATGACATATTATAAGTGTTAACAACATTCGAATTGTCAAAAGTAGGTCTGATTTTAATGTGTTTGTTTTCAATTCCATCACCGCCGTTTTCATTTACTTGTATGACTAAGTTTAGTATTTTGATTATGTTACTTTAGACATAAGCCTAATATTATTTTGATTATTATTTAACGTATGCCTGTGCTGATATAAACGAATCATTTACTTGTGCCATGTGCTGATAAACGATTCATTTACTTATGGTCACTTAGTAGTCTGTAATTGATTCTTTATTTTTTACTTCTTATTGTTACCTTTAATAATTGAATTAAAAGGACACAAAAGAAAAAAATTAAACTAAATTGCAGTAGGGTCCTTCTTCTGGTGGTGAATTGGACAGTACACCGGGAGACATTCCCCTACTCAAAGCGGGACCAACAGCTAATAAGCAGCAGCACAAGTACGGCGGTTTACTTAACTGGCGGGGGTCTCGAGGTTCAAGGGCCTCGAAGTCAGGGCCTTGTCTCTGCACTTTGCTGCCCATTTATTCAAGCTCGGACTCTCTTCACATTTAGTCTGCATTTCCATGCAACCGCTTTTATTTGACCACATCAATGTCATCGTCGTCGTCGCCGTTTCGTCGCCGTCATCATCATCATCATCATCATCATCATCACCATCATCATCACCTTCATCGTCATCATCATTATCATCATCTTCATCATCATCATCATCATCATCATCATCATCATCATCACCATCATCATCATAAATATTATTATTAGGACCATGTGAAATCAACCTCATTTTAACAAATCGAAACAATATTGTACAACATTTTTATTAACACTTTTGAGACTAGCCACGTAGCCAATACACACAATTCTCGACCCATTATAAATTTCATATGAACATTAAATACTTTCACACGACTTGGTTTTAAAAAATATTATTGTTTAGACGCAACTGCTTCAACATCTCCCACTAAAACCTTACAAAAATACGGATTTTTGGTGAAAATAGGTCTAATATTAATTGTGGTTCTTATTACAAGACAACTAAATAAATGGAAACTTTCTCAATAACACAAGAATGACACGATCCAATTATCTATATAAGAAACGCGTCTGGCATATACCTGCGTCTTTTTTTCCTTTGTTTTTTTGTCCAAAAGCTCTGGTTCTGTTTCTGGCTGTTAACTTTTTACTTACGCTTCCTTTTTATCTGTTGCTTATCAAATGTGTATCTCTACGAGATCCAGCCATTATA